TGCACCCTTATTAATGCGATTTGCAGTAAATGAAATGCCACAAATGAACAATGCCACCGAGTCAAGTGGATGGTACGATGTGATTTACGCACATCACAGGAGACGACGAAATCAACAACGGGGCAGATCAAAAGAGGTGCTGGAATGGCTTTTCGTATGTGCGGGGCTTCTCGGAACATCTTCTTAATAAAACTGCTTAGAGGGAAATAGAGGGATCATTTGTTAAAATGAAAAGAGATACTGCATGCGCTGAATTATAAAAGCAGCATTCATTTTCATACACACACATATTAGAGTTGTCTAAAATTAGCTCAAGTTCCTTTTTTAATTTTTTTAAGGCCTTAAAGGAACAAAGACCTGACAAGATGAGCTCCGGTTCAGCACGGACTGTCCAAAGTACCAAGGCCTCTACAGAAGACCCCATCATCCCTATGGGCCAGCTCTGCCCTTTAGCCCACCGGTCCTTCACCCGAGGTCTCAAGACTGTGCCACGGTCGAGCCACTCTCTGCCATCTCTTTTCTCTCTGTATTCTAGGCCACCTGGTGCCGTTCCTGAAATGTAGTCTGCCCTCCTCTTGTGGATAAAAGCTTTTTGCCACACACAAGAACCAGAGCCCCATTTTAAGGATCACACTTATGCTAAAGATGCCTCCAATTTTATCTTCAGACCTGACCTCACAGTAGTTTTATACCTATGGATTTCCTGCCTGCTGAACTCCAGCAACTGAGTAATCAGCCAGCACCGCCCCTCATCCAAAATGGGATAGTCTCTTACAGCCCACACACAGGCTCCTTACATCCAGTCTTTGGGCAGGTGCTTCCCCTCCTCTAGCAGACTCTCTATAGAAAAAGGTGGCCCAGACTTCAGGTTGCAACCCAGATGATCCCTCCTCCTCAAACTCTCCTGATCATGCCCACTCAGCATCACTCCTGTGCACCTCCAGTGTCTGTGCTCACCTCAGTAAGTACACCACCCTCATCGCTCAGTCTGCAGGACTGGGGGGCCTCATGTGTGGCTGACATGCTGGAAGCATCTTTCAAATTCCAGTAGGGCCAGTGGAGCTTCCAGACTGAGAGAGACTAGGAAGCAGGGCCCACTTCTGGACACTAGACACTGAAAACTATGGCTGGTGGGCTGCTAGCCTCAAGGTGAGCAGTTTCCAACCACCAGCCACTCTGTGGGAGGTGAGGCTTTCAACAGCCACAAACAGTTACAGTCTCAGAAACCCACACAGCTCAGCTCTACCCCGTCCTCTAGGGTCACTAGGATTAGGAACCGACTTGACGGCAAAAAGTTTAGATTTTGGAGAATAAGTTTGGCAGTAAGTCTGGATTTTGCAGTAAGCTGCAAACTTACCATTGATCATGCAGATGGCACAAGACCAGTCAGTAGGTAGTTCTGTTATCAATAAAGTCACCGTTAGTCAGAGTCCATGCAATGACAACCAGGGATTGATCACCCTGTAAGCCCTGGCTGACTTGTACTTATTTATCAATCTGCCCTGAACAGTTTCATAGCCAGGCCAAGCTGACCTTACTTACTCCGTCCCTGTCAGAGATTGCCTATTGGCAAAAAAAAAAGGCTTTGATTCTATAGGAAGGTGCTCTTGGGTTAGGGGAGAGCTAGATGCCAGAGTAAAAAAAAAAAAAAAGTGAAATTGTTCCCCATAAATTAGTAAGCAAGCCTTTCCCCCTTTATCAGGAAATCTGATACGTGGGCAGCTCTCAACAGTGTGAAGCTTCCCTGCTTCGCTTCGTATTAGCTGCTCCAGAGCATTTTGTTCTTTCCCTACCTGGCCACGCACTTCCTCTGGCAGCTCTTACTTGCTGCCAGTCCCTCGGCACCAAGTAGTAGCTAAAACACACACTGCAGATAAATGAATGAACCATTTCCTTGCAGGCACACCGCCTGTTCTTAGCAGTAAGGTCACGGCTGGCTACAGCAATGTTGGGTTTATAAATCACTGGACCCAGAAATAATTGTAGCCTAGGCTTTAATGTAAAACACACATACACACACACAAACCCTAAAAACAAAAGCACAAACCTGAATGAATACAAGACAGCATAGCATAAATGGTTCTTTGCCATGGTTTAGCCATCAATGGTGGGGGGCCATAATGTATGCAAAATGTTTAGATAATGTTTATAATCTTCCTTTAAGTGCAATCACTGAGAATGTCAGCTCCTTAAGATTCAAGGTGACTTTGCACTTTGTCAGGATTACAAGGATAGTATTCATAAGACACCTAGACTTGATTACTATGCCATACAGACATGAGTGTCTTCGCAATAAGCCTCCCATATTGACCAAGAGACAGGAATGTTACTGCCTGCTTTTTCACAAGAAAATCCTTGAGTTACTTCTAGTATACGAAATCATTTTCCATGACACCGAGTTTGAAAAACACCACACACAGGGCTTTTAAAAAGGAAGAAAGTTTGCATGTGCATAAATCATGGAGGCAATGACTTCATTCCCCCAGAAAACATAAGGGGTGCTGATTTCATGCAAATAACTATTAAAAAGAGGTAACCCCCTCCCCCAAACAGCAGCAGTTAAGCCCTCCCACCGAGCACACATTCAGCTGAGAGGGAGAGACCTTAAGAGGCTTACCTTTGCAGGTTAACTCCAGGTTACTCCATTTCCATTTATAGAACATTTCCCTAACTCACTGCCAATAAAATGTAAAGTGCCCTTTGCCACAAGGGCATACTATTGGTTGCTAATTTCTTCTGCACCCCCACTTCCACCACAATAGGACTTTTCTGGCTACCACTTTGTGGCATGCTATAATGGGGCTTCAAAAATGGGGGGGTGCACAGAGCTTAAAGATCAGGAGGGAAGGGGAAGTAACAGGGGAAAGGGTGGGCAAGAGATAACTTGCTGAAGGGGAAGATAATTCTCCACCACAGGGAGAAAGGGGGAAAGGAAGACCTAGCGAGTTATCGGGAGGTTTGTTCCGTGGTTAAAGTTGTAGAACACAAAAATGATGTGTAGCCCCCCACTGAAATCACAGTGTAAGGGTTAAAAAGAAGAAGAAAAAAGATCCTGGCATCTCCCCAGGAACTTTGGAAGGCCTCCTAGTAGGACATCCCTGCAGTCTTGTGTTTGCACTCACGCAGGCCACCAATTGCTTCATGCAACTCATCAGTTCACTTACAATGAAATTACGAAACAGCATCGTGCACATGCGTTTAGCACAGTTAGATGGCTGGCAACCAGAACTCACACAAAATGCTGTAAACTAAACAAAAAGGTTCATTTGCTTGGCAGAGCTGCAAATGTCTACAGCATGGGTCCAAAGACCAAGGATTGGGTATATTTACTTATTCCCATTCCCAGAGGGTCCAGGAACAACCATCATCAAACAAGACCCTCATGTTTATCCTGTCGAGAGAGGAGCTATATGACTGATACTCGTGAGAGCCTGGCTTGACAGCTGACAAGTCCCACTCCAAGTCATACTCAATGCATTACACATATGCTATCTCATTCGGTCTTCACAGCAGCGCAACAAGGGAGCTCTCATATCATCTCTACCTCCAGAAACAGAAATCAAAAACACGTGGTCATCAAGTTACTTCTGACTCCTGGCAACCCCATGTGACCCCCCCAGGCAGCACACTTGAGTACTTTCAAAAGATGGGTGGTAGGAACCCACCCAGAGGCACCTCAGAAGAAAGGCCTGGCAACTGGGCTCTGAAAGGCTGCTCCCTTGAAAACCCTCCGAAGCGCTTCTTTCATTTGCCCACAAGGGGCCGCCGTCCTCTCCATTTTCTCTATGAAGAAACTGAGGCCCCGGAAAGGTTGCGTCCCTGCCCAAGGTCACAGTGGTTCCGGCCAGGCTGGTTTAGGAGCTCCCATGCTCTTTATCTCAGATACCACAGCGTTTCTATGTAACTTCAGAACAGTATCCTCGTGCCGCCAGGGAGCTCTCTATTTAAAGAAATCTGGTGAGTCACTTTGTAAGTGCACATTCTGGGGAATGCAAACATTCACCTCTTTAACAAAGCCATTTTCAAAATCCGTATTTTCGCCTGGGAGGCTGGGCCAAAGGTGGCTGCACTTCTCACCAAGTAAGGAACTGGCAGACCACAGGGAAGAGGGGCCTGAGAACACCCAGCCCAGCAGTACCCAAACCTGTGGCGCATCCATACCTAGAAGACCAGCAATTCCAGGAGAGCAGCCAGGAACATTCTGCTTCAGTGGGCCGAGGGTCGGAGTCCCTAGATGTATTTTTTTGTTAAGCACTCTAGGTGAGTCTATGGCCCAGCCAGGCCTGGGAACTTCGGCTCTAGTCTATCTGCACAGCCTCCAGCAGGCTAGCTCCCCAGGCAAGTAGAAAGAGGACAATTTATTTCACAAGCGCCTTTGATTACATGCACCAGTGTTCCCAAGCCCTGGCCGTGCCCGGTGCTATCTAACTTCCATCCCCCCTGAATTCGTTTGCAGCAGTATCCTCCCGTCTCGCTTCAGGGGAGAACCATGAGTCATCAGCCCTGTATACACCCTGTGTCTGCGGGACTCTCCAGGCCAGAAAAGTTTACTGTACATGAGGAAATCAGGAAGTTGTAAAATCCAAACCGGCACAGAGAAACTCAAGATTCAACAAATACGAGTCTGCTGATGAATGAGCGGGCCTGCTTCTTGACGTATTCGACCTGCATCCAAAACTTCCCACAAGAAAACCTGGACTTACGGATCAGTGTTTGGCCCTGCGTGAAGGGAAAGGTGACAACAGAAAGGCTCGGGCTCGGGTCCAAAATGCCATCATGGACCGTCACCACGTCAGAAGTAGACTTCTTTATAAAGCAAGTAGGTTAACCCCAAATGACAAATACTTTCATTAAAGCTACCTTGGCAATTTCTCAATGTCCTACGCAATACCATCTGCAGGGACACACGCTGAGGATGGAGGGCTAAAGCTTGGCTAGGAGGGAATTTCCCAGGCCAGACCATGGCCAGGAGGAAATGAAAGAGCACTGAAAACTCTCACCTGATGGGCGGAGGACTTCCCTGCCGTGGTGGCGCGGAAAGAGACTGCCTTGCGAGCACGGATCCGTCTGCAGCTTGAAGGGACCACCCTGGTGACTTCCACGTGACGCTGTTGCAACAGTCCAGGCAATCCAAAGGGAAAGACAGAACACATGGCTTTAAAAAAATAATTCTCCCCCCCCCCTTTTTTTTTTTACATAAGTGTCTCTCTTCACTAAAATGTGAACTGGAAGATTGCCGTCTTTTATATTTGGCTTCATGAGAATGACAAAGATGCCAAGCAGCTCAAAAGGCAGGCCTGGCTCAGAAGGAGGCCAACACTCACAAAGGTCAATCCTCCAAGCAGTTGAAGAGTTTGGCCCATCCGTGCGCCCCTCCCCTCACCACTCCCTGATTTGGGCCAACCACTGTAATTTTCCAGTGATTCTAGCCAGTCATCTGGTAAAGGCACACTGGTAGACACAGGGATATCAGGTAGAAAAGAGCAGGGGTTGACGGCTAATTGAGCTAAACCTCATTTCAGTGTGGCATACATCCTCTATCATGGAGCCCTGGTGGTGCTGTCAGGTAAGCGTTGCACGGAGGACTGCAAGGTCAGTGGTTCAAACTCACCAGCGGATCCTTAAGAAGAAGAGGAAGCTTTCTGCTCCCCCAAAGATTTACAGCCTTGGAACCCCCATAAAGGGTGCCTATGAGTCGGAATGTCGCCAAGGCAGTGGGCTTGGTTTTTATATTCTCCATCAGCATGCAACTTGACGAGCAATCATGAGAGAGCATCACTATTATTTAATGTACCTTTCCAATGGAATTATCTGTTAAGTATAAAATGTGGAGGGAGGGCATCAAAGTACATACTCATTCATTAGAATTTCAACTGTGAATTAAGTATTATTGTATGTGTGTCTACTTTTTTCTCACTTCCTCAAATGCCTTGCATGTGGCTATGTAAAAATTGATCTGTCATTGGATGAATGCGTGAATGGATGAATGAATGAATGAATGA